GGGGGTGGCGGAGTAAGTCGTGCCTTAGCCGAATAATTCTCCAATAACCTCAAAAAGAGTTTACAGAGAGGCTATCCCCACTGATCGCTGGGAAGCCAGTGCAGCTGCCCAATATGAGCAACACCCATAAGTCAATCTGACCATGCATGGGCTCCTACCAATTGTCCTAGGATTTCCCCCAAAACCCACTGCTACTGAGCCCAGGTGCCCTTTCCTTTTGCCACCCAGGGATGTACATTTGTGTATTATGCTATGAAATGGTTAAGATGGCTTTTATGGAGATTGTCAACGAGACACTTCACCAACAGATAGCAGTTGGAATAAGCCAGACTGTGGTGTGTATGTGCCAATATTCCACTCAAAAGGAAATCTATTATCTTTACATTATAAAGAGACAGTTTGACTCATCCCCCATATCATCTTATTTCAGCAAATGTTAAGACAGGAGATCAATGGATTTGGGGGGGAAATTTACCTCCGCTTACCTTTCTTTTCCAATTTTGCTCTCAGACAAAGATACTGTTTCTGAAAAATCATGTTAATTGTGCTGTATACCATGGTTGCTTTTCAGATGGAAAATTCTCTTGTTCTAAATACACTTTAGAAAAATGTGCATTTGTTTCTTTGTCTCCACCTTCAGTATATGACGCAGAGGGAGGATAGGGTGGACAAATTCTAGTACAAATTATCCCACTCCAGGACCTGTCCCCAGGGATCTTGAATGTCTAAGGGATGACTGGTGGCACTATCAGTTGAGACTTGGACTGCTAACTGCAAGGTAATCAGTTCAAATCCAGCATCCTATCCTCCAGAGAAAGATGAGACTCTATTCCCATAAGCATTTACAGCCTCAGAAGCCTTATATAGGGTTACTATGAAGTGAAATTGACTCTCTGGTAGTGGGTGGGAGGGATATTCCCCTGAGATCTTGAAAACCTACGGAATGACTTGTTAATGACCAAAGGTGTATTATTGTTGTTGATATTATTGCTGTTGTTTGTTGAGCTCTACTTGGGTGTGAAATACTAAACTTGCAAGGGTCTAGAATTTTGACTATTTGGCATACCAATGAACAGAAGGGAAGCAACAACACGAGAAAATAATCTCCTATTCCACAGTCTTTCTTAGCTTAATATATGTGCCGTACACATCATTGTTCTGGGAAATAAGTGAGAATGAATATTAATATGGCAATTTATTTTTTAAGGAATTAATCCCAAATATGCAGAAAGTGCATTTGATCTTAGAAGAATTACAATGAGAATTTCTGTAATATTAAATATTATCTAGCTATTGAGAAGTCCATGACAACATCCTAGTGATGGTGAGAAATAGAATGTGTCTGTTTTGTTTCTTACGCAATTGAGCTCTTTGTTATGAAAGAAGAACAGAATCAGGGGCCCTGCTGCTGCAAAGCTGGCACAATACCTGCCAGTGAACTTACAGGTGAGGTGACGTCACTAAGAGTTGGGAGACATTTTATTCAGAAAAAAGAAGCAAGCTAGAATACATAGTTTTTTATTTAGGTGCAGTTGAGAAAGGGAATTCATTTCAAGGGACTTAAGATTTGGGGTTGATGTCTTTAAGCCAATTTTAATTAATGCTTCTAAATTCAGATGAAATATATTTATCATTTTATGACACTGGTGTCAGGCTTTATTTCCCTTTTTTTTTCTCTAAAGGGTCTTCAGGGCAAGGTAAACTTAGCGTGGTCGTCAGAGCTGGAGTTGGTTTTGTTGTCGGGAGTGGGTTCTGCTCATGAAGAGCCCATGTGTGCAAATAGCACTCTGCTGCAGGATTTTCAAGGCAGTGATTGTCCTGAAGTCGAATGCAAGGACTGTCTCCTGAGGCACCTTGGGTGGCTCAGCTTGTAGTTGAGCACTTAATGGTCTGTGCCCTCAGGGGCTGAAAAATGGCAACCTATTCATGATGAACTGCTAAATGAACTGCAGGCACTTTTGCACATTTGACAGGATAGAATTGAAGTAAATCTATTATTTTTATAAGCACATCAAATAACAGTATGGTAGGTGGTGTTACGGATGATTTAGAGTAGGGATTTAGAAGTCAAAGGTACCCTTTTGTAACAAAAGAGCAATTTCTAGTGCATCATTATTATCATTAGCTACCATTGAAATGGCATTATCTGGGGATTTTGAAATATAAAAAAGATAAAGAAATAGAGGAATAATAAGCCCAGAGAAAGAAAGTCATTTCTATTCAACCACTACCTGCAATGAGAATGGATAGAAAAAGTGTTATTTTGAAGATTACCAATAATAATTCCATGGGTCAATGTTCTGGTAGCCAACTTCCTTAAAGATTATAGCCAGTAAAATTCTATGGGGCAAAGTAGTCCTATCAAGTGGCTGTGAGTAAAAAACTTACTCGATGAACCCATATCTATAACAACATGTGTTTGATATTATGTAGTCTTTCTCTAGTTTCTCACCAGTCCTCTCAAAGTCTCCTGCGTAAACTAAGTAGGCCAAGTTGTCATTATTTTCAATTGTTGCCCTGCAATATCTTTCTATACGTCTTCATTTGTTCCTTTATCTCATCGTGCTCTTTGCTGAAGCCTTGATGCCATCAGACACTGCCTATCCCAGGGAGCCTTCCTAAGGTCCCCTTTCTCCCCCACTCAGGGGTGTTCGCTCCCTTCTCTAAACTCATCCAACACCTTCTACCTTGGGTTATCTTCTAAATCCCTTCTAAAATAGCCTTGGAGAGTAGGGTCTGAGGCTGGCTTCTTTGTATTACCTATTCCCCAGAGTACAGTTCTTGGCTCCATATCTGCATTGCTAAACGCCATCAAGTGTGAGTCTTAGTGACTTTTTGTTCAACCCAAAGAAAGAAGACCTGGTCCTCAACAATTGTACTTATGTTTGAGCCTGTTGTGGCAGCCATTCTGTCAATATGCAGAGTAGGTGCTAATAATTTGCTGATAGTGAATGAATGTATTATTTCAGAGATGCAACGTATCTAGTTACATTTCTCCACCAGCCAAGTTAGGATCACAACCTGTGCAAAATACAGGCATCACTCATTCTATTGAGCTTCCTAGATATTGCTTCTTTTCCTTTGCAAATTGAAAGTCTGTGGCAAGGCTGCATAGAACAGGGCAGCCAGACGCCATTTTTCCAACAATAGGTGCTCACTCCGTGCCTCTGGGGTACATTTTTGAAATCCTCACAATATTTCAGACCTTTTTTTTTTTTATTATCCTGCCCCACCCCCTATACCCCCCTTTATTTCAGACCTTTTTATAATACTGTTATACACTTAAAAGACTATAGTATTGGGCAAACATAATTTTTATGTGCACTAGGGAACCAAGAGTTCATGATTTGCTTTATTGCGGCGGTTTGGAACCAAAGCCTCAATATTGCCCGAGTATGCCTGAACTAATTTAGTTTCAAAGAAAACCTATACATTATAAATATACTGAAAAAACAACAACAACAACAACAACAACCAATAAATAAATAAATAAATATACTGAGGGCACAACAGATTTTGTTCAGCAGATACAAGTGGGAGTTTATAATCCTTGAGTGTTATTAGGAACCCTGGTGACATGGTGGTTAAAGATCTTGGTTGCTAACTGAAAACATCTGAGGCATGTACCCACCAGGTGCCCTGCGAAAGAGAAATGGGACCATCTGCTTCCGTAGGCTTTACAGCCTTGGAAACCCAATTGGGCAGTTCTACCCAGTCCTTACAGGGTCGCTTAATCCAAATGGACTCCATGGCCATGGGTTTGGGTGTGGTTTGAGTCGTTATTAGCTCACATGTGCAAGCAGCCCCAAATGTCATTTTGGACACAGTTGTTAAAAGCATGGCAAGCCTGAAAACAGGTCTTTCAGGATTTCGTGCTTTCATGGTGCTTGCATTCTATTGAGAAAGGCAAAGTCTGAGAAAAGCGCTCCCATGAGAGAGGATTTACCTTGTTTCTAGTC